AATATCGTATTCGAGAATCTACCAAATGTAATAAAGTACCTCGTTATAAGAAGATCGAATGGTTGTCAAAGCAATATCGTCAGAAATTAAAGATGATAATGGGTGGGGTTTTAATTCAAGATCATCATCAGATCAATGTTTAATCCATCTTGAAATCTTAGCTGTGTATAATAATGTATTTTCCTGTTATATATCAATGTTGATTTGTTTCATTATAAAGTCTTGCTTTTCTCTGAGTCATTGCATTTATATTCTAATGTGTTTATTATATTGGGTTGTTGTTTCATTAATAATCTTGTTTTTATATCTCAGTTGTATAAATACATTTGTGTTAAATATCTTAGTATATTTTATTTATTTGATAAACTGACTTATTTAATGTAGATTATTTTAACGATGATCTCATTGTTTCTTTCTAAGTAGATGATAATACTCAAGTCAAAGATGAACCAAAGAGAAAAGAGTATCATAATAAATGTAGAATAAACAAGACAAACATTTTACAATTTTTAATTAAATGCTCAAAAAGAAAATGTTCGTATTGAACACATCTATAATAAATAGTCTGTATTTATTTTTAATTATATAATAAATGCGGAAACTTCGAATTTTATCCAAGAGTTATGTGTACTGCAAAAAGTGTATATGGAAATCATAGGGAAATATCAGTATTTTTGTAATAACTCAGGAATGGCTCGTCGAACTAGGCTCAACTTCGAATTCGACCGAGATCCTGATGGGCCTGAATTGTGTAGAAAATTGCATCAAAATCTACCTCTCTTTTCGAAAGTTATCGTGTAAACCAGAGCTGGGCAAAATAATCGAAGTACTCGCCCTCGATAATATAACTTTTCGAAATTTTAAGTAGTTTTGTTCATAAAAGCATTGTTATGTTTTCGTGTATTTTTGAAATATGTACATATTATGTTACAAGTAACGTTCATCCTACAGATTCGCGAGCTCTTTTCTGAAAGAAAATTTCGTGTGATTATCATACAAAATCATTTTTACTCTATGTTAAGAAAGGGAATCTGGACAGGATCTACTCATCATGAAATCTCAATAGAACAAGGTTCATTTTTAATTTGAGGAATAGACGATCGATTGTAGCCGTATGTCTTATTTTTTTTAAAACTGATCTAATTCAAAGAGTTTAAGGAGTTGTGATGCCGCATATTCGAGAGTTCTTACACATTCAAAATAATCTCGGCAAAGCAACCTTAAGATTTCAGAATAATCAAAAGATTGATGCTTTGAAAAAAATTGATCCTCTTTCCAAAGTCTATACTCTAAAATGGTTCGCTAAACATTTACTTTATAGACGTTCTACCATTTTTAAAAATAGACTTTAAATTCGAGTTCGTAGTCCTCGATCAAGTCCAACCAAGTTTATTACAGATAACTGATCATATTTAGTTATTCAAGATTTCGTATTTTCTAATCCTAAACTCAAACTCATTTGAATAAAACGGACAGACAAATATTCAAAAGTCTAAGCGCGATATTTATCGCTACTCAATTGTTTCTTTACGAAACAAAAATTGATAATTTAATACTAACATAAATGTTAGAAGAACGCTGAATCAGTGACATTATTTTCCAGAATTGAAAATCACATAGGATTTTACTGCATTCCTATCAGTTGAATGTTCTTTTTTTAACAGAACGTATTTTTTTAATAGATATAATTCACAATTCAGTAGCGTCCTCTATCCTATGAATTAATATGAATGGTCTATTTCAGCATTAGAAAAAGACCACAGTAAACAACAATAATCTATCAGATCGTTTTATTTATCGTTTGGATCTCGGTGTCAATTGAATATCTTGAAAATGCCTGTGGTTATATTCCTTCTCGATAATTCAGCATCAATGAATCAAATGACTCATATGGGTACAACTCTTTTCGATATTAGTAAAGGAGCTATAGATCAATTTTTTAAAGTTAGTTACTAATATTTCTTCTTTTGATCTATATATATATTGTTTTATTTCTATAGATACGACAACGAGATGCTGCTGCTGCTAGAACAGATCGATATATGTTATTAACACTTGATGAACCACCTTCAAATGTTAAAGTTGGATGGAAAGAACCTATGACTGTATTTACGAATCAATTAAAAAGTCTTGAAGCAACTGGATTAACACAAATGGGTGCCGCCATTAAACAAGCATTTGATTTACTTAATCTTAATCGACATGCAGCTGATCATGATACATATGGTTGTGGTCGATTTCCACATTTACTTGAACCATCAATTATTATTGTTATAACAGATAAACAAAAATTAACTACACCAGCAGGTGTTTTAAATGAAGTAAAATCATTGATATTGTGCTTTTTTTTCTTAGTTAAATTAATTCAAAATCTTTCTTAGATTAATATTCCAATGAATACAGGTCCGATGGGAAGTGAATTAACGAAAGAACCATTTCGATGGGATCAACGTTTATTTGCAATCGTTCTTGCTCTACCTGCTCATGCTTCATCAATAGCACAAGCAGGAAATATACCTAATACAGCAACTACTGGTTTAGCAGATATACCAGCTAATCAATTTATTCCAGTTGCGGTTGATCAACCGATTACTGCTATGTGTGATGTAACTGGTGGTAAGTAAATATTAATTATACAAAATAACATAATTATTTTTTTCATTGATATTTAGGTCGTTCTTTCTTAATTACCTCGCAACGAACACTTTATCAATGTTTAGAATCTCTTGTACAAAAAATTCAAATTGGTGTTGTTGTCAATCTAGAAAAAGTTTTGAGTGAAGGTAGGAAAAATATTACAAATTAAAAATATCAAAACTGAAATAAGTTATCTCCTTAATTATTCTCTTAGTGTAACATACCTTCGTATGTTCCCTTTCTTCTAGTACATAAACCTACAAATCGAATAGGATCAGTAGTATAAGAAAAGAACAGATCTTTGTAAAATCTGATAAGCCTTTCCAATCAAAATGAGGGAACTATTTCTACTTTAACTTAATGACAAATATAATCAAAGTACTCGGTCTATACGTATTTCTAATTTTTCCAAGAATCTCATAATTTTTGATGAACATGTGAATCATTTATATTTCTAAATAGGAGATGTAGAACGATCTGAGTGGCATTCCTGTCGAAAAATGATCATGATTCCTCGTTCTTTGCCAAGAACTGAAAAAACTGAATATAATTGGCCAATACCTGAAGATTATTGGCCATCACCAACAATGCCTTCACTTCCACCACGTTCAGCTCATGCTTCAATTAAATTTCAAACAGTACCTTGTCCAACTGTAACAGATAAACTACCATTTGATAAATATGAATTAGAACCATCACGATTAACACAATATATACTTGAACGAAGGCAACCAACTGTAGCTTGGCCAGTATGTAAAATATTTAATAAAAATTAATTTTATTTCTCTATATATATATTGTAGGTTTTCGTTCAAGGTTCATCTCGTTCTGGTCCAAATGAACTTGGTTCACCATTTGGTTATCTTAAAGCTAGTTCAAATTTAATATCTGTGAATTTGTATATAATGCCATATAACTACCCAGAATTATCTACATTACTTAGTAAAAATAAACTTTTTCTATTATCATTTTTCTGTATTATATTTTCTTTTTTTAGATGAATTAAATAAAGTTCATGGTTCGAATGTAACAAAAGCTTGGCAAAATCGTTTTGATAGTTATCTTCGATCTATTCCTCCTTATTATCTTCCTGTAAATATTATTTTAGGAAAATTTCAATTGCCTATTTATTATTTATTTGTAGCCGTTAAGACGAGTTTTATCGAAAAGACAACTTCAATTTGTATTTGAATCTTTTGATAAAATTAGTCCAACACAAGCAGCAATTCTACTCTCACCACAAATGCTTGGATATTTAAAAAAAATCCGATTTCAAGCTAAAAGTGAACTTGATCGATGGCCACCAATGCAAGAAAAACCTCCACCGCTTATTCATCTTCTTCCATCGTATGTAATTCTATCAATTCATTAAAAACATTTTCTTTTTCTTTTGTCTATAATCATTTTCAAAGGCGTCCTGATATTTTATTTGATAAAACATCTTCGTCAAGTGCTGATTTACATGAGCCAGGTGACGAATCAATTCATAATAATTTTGTTTTACAATCAAAAACCAATTCAAAACAACAACCATTGCAATTGTATTTGTAAGAGAAAAAACTATATATATATATATATATAGATGTATATCATCTGAACAAAATCTATTGGTTT